AGTGGTGGCCGTCCCTTGTGTAGTGGTGTGTGCTGTGGTGGTTGCTGACCCCGTGGTGGTGCTGGGTGTCATCAGTCTGGTGGTGGCTGTCTCCTGAGTGGTGGCCGTTGGTGTGGTGGTGGCAGGGCGCCTGCAGTGGCTGAGGTCGTTGCAGCACAGCACGCGGATCCTGTAGTTGTAGCACATGCGGAACACACCCTCCTGCTCCTTGTTGTAGCACACAAGGCCGAAGCTGAGGTTGCAGTGCACTAGCTGTCCCAGCTCCTCGGGGGTCTGTGAGAGGTAGTTCTGAGCCCGGCACTCGATGTCCTGAGGCTGTGGGCAGAGGGTGCCCCCTGCAGCCCTGATCCTGTCGTAGGTCTCCACGTCGCCCCCGGCCCTGTCGGATGTGGGGTAGTCCACGTCGAACCACTCTGTCCACTGGCACCGGGGCTGGCAGCGGGTGGTCCTGGGAGCCAGGGTGCTGGTGATCCCATGCGTTTTTAATGATGCTGATGAGGGTGAGGTCTCAGTCTGCAAGCTGAGCTCTGAGGTTGGGGACATGCTGGGGCCTGTGGCTGTGGTCATCTCCCAGGTAGAGGGGGTCAGGGTAGGGCTGGATAGGGTCCTGGCCGTTGAGGTATTGGGTGCTGGGTAGGAGCCACAGGGCCTATGATCACAACACAGGACCCGCAGCTCATAATTGTGGCAGAGTGGGGGGCTCTGCTCACTGTTGAGGCAGATCAGTCCCCAGGCTGGCTCACAGTCCACCTTCTGGCCAAGCTCTTCCAGGGACAACCCTGGGAACAGTTCTGCGCGGCACTCAATGTTGGCAGGTGTCTGGCACACGGGGTAGCCCTTCTTCCTTAGTATTTCCAGGGTCTCGAAGTCCCCGCCTCCCATGCCAGTCTCTGGTTGACCCCCATCGAGCCATGGAGACCAGTGGCAGACCTCTCGGATACACACAGTTGACACGGTGTTCATGGAGCCTGCATGGGTTGGGAGAGGCCACTTAGGCTTCTCTGGCCTGAGCCACACCCCAGAAGGAGAGGGAGGGAGGACACTTGCCCTAGGGCTGGCCTAAGTCTTGATTGGCCTGCTTCTGCCTGGAAGACCAGGCCTAGCTGCAGTCTGCAGAGCACAGCTGGATGCTGGGGCTGTGCTGTGGGCAAGAATGTGTCTGGGGAGGCTTTAGGGCCTCAGCACAGCCCCCCAGTCACTGTGCTGGGGGAACTCTGATACAGGTTGGACAGTGGACAGCTGCACAGTGGGGTGGGACTAGGTGAACCCAGGCACCTGCTCCAAGTGTCCCCTGCATCTTCCCTTTCCCAGATGTGGCCACGCCTCCCCAGGGTGTGCGCCTGTGTACCTGTTGTGGAGAGGGCTGCGGAGGTGGTGGTGAAGGTGAACGGCAGTGTGGACAGGGTTCCGGCACACTCCGTGACCCTGCGGATCAAGGTCCCGTTGTCTCCGCAGGTAGCAGTTAAGCAGGCGCCCAAGCCATCAGTGGTGTTGTAGATGACATCCCCGTAGCTATAGGTCCGGTCCTCATAGGTACATGTGCAGGCTGGGTACAGCAGGGACCAGTTCACTCAGGGCCTCCTAGTCCCAGCCCCCTGCCCCAGCCTCCGGCCCCTCCTTACCCTCAAGGCTGTGAGCACATTGGAGGCCACCCGGGGTACAGCGACTGCAGGGAGAAGACACTGAGGGCCTGTGCAGCCCAGCCCCACCCTGCCACCCGGCTGCCTGCCCACCTCTCACCAGCGCTGGCAGTTCTCAGCTGTGGGGACCTGTGCGTCGATGTCATAATAGTTTCCATCCTCATCATAGCAGCCGCACTGGGCCACACACTTCATCCGGTCCTCACTGAAGAAGGGCTGGCTGGGTGGGCACTTGGGGTAGCAGCCTGGGGTGGGGTAGGGGCTCACTGGGCCTTAAGCCTTCTTGGGACAGGACTGGGGTGCCCAGGGACACCTCCCTACCCCACAGCAGGGACATCTCCCTAGGTGCACCCTCACCTTCAAGGCCAGGCAGGTCCACCAGACAGCGGCCGCTGGGGTTCCGGCAGGTGCGCAGGCAGGGCGCCCCGCAGGGCTGGTAGTGCCACTCGCACTCCCCAGAGGGGTTGTAGTAGTCACAGAAGAGTGCTGGGCAGAGGGCAGAGACTCAGTGGGTACCTGTCAGGCCTCTTCACCAGCGTTCACCCAGAGGCTCTTTCCCCACACTTGGACCCCCCTACCTTGGGCATCCACCATCCAAGTACCCACCCTGGGCCCCCCTTGTTTGGTATCTGCCTTCTGGACTACACAGGTCTACATCTGCACATGCACAGCGCACACATATGTGCAGGCACACATGCTAGTGTCTGAGTGTGGCCGTGTGCCTGTCAGCCTTAGGCCCACCTGGCCCTTCAGCACCACGGACAGAGCCCCACTCACGACAGATGTCAGGAGTCCTCCAGGACACGCACACACCCACGTCGTGGCAGGCCTGGGCGTAGGCAGCCACGGCGGTGCAGAAGCACTCGCAGTCACCCCCCGAGTCACAGGCGCAGGCGTCACGCACACAGGCCTCGTAGTACTTGGTGGAGTCGACCTGGAGTAGGGGTGGAGGTGTGGCTCAGGAAGAAGCAGTGTCCACCCAGTCAGGGCTGCCAGGCCTGAGTGGTCCCCAGCACAGCTGTAGGTCAAACCCCCACACTGGTGGCCTGAGGTCCCTGATCCCAGGGCTGTGGGTGACTCTGTCTTGAGCAGAAGCTGTCCCCAGCACCACCACTCCAGCTCACAGGGGTCCTTGTCCACCTATCCACCTGCCTGGGGTCCACCTGCCCAGATGCTCACCTGTCTGCCTGTCTGCTTGGCCAGCTCTCTGCCTGTCCACCTCTCTTCTTGTTTGCTTGCCCACCTGCCTGTCCTTCCACCTGCCCACTTATCTACCTGCTTGCCTGCCTGCCTACTCACCTGTCCACCTGCCAACTTGTTCACCTGCTTATCCACCTCTCTATCCACCTCTTTCCATCTGCCCCCCTTCCACTGTCCACCTGTCCACCTGCCCACCTGCTCACCTGTGAACCTTTACTTGCTCCTTGGATTCTCTTATCACTGAGTCTTATTGTGTGGGATACAGGCTGCCACTGGCCCGGTCACTGCGCCCTGGTCATCCCATACCTGTGCTTGATGCACTGTGTGCCTGCACACCAACGTCTGTCCCACTCCACCTTCCATTGGCTGAGTCCTCTTCTGCTCCCCATTGGAGAGCAGAACCCCTCGGTGCAGAACCCCTGCCCACCACCCGGAGCCTTGCTTCTGAAGGTGAGGCCCCTGCCAGATCCATCCCTGTCCACAGCAGCAAACCTGCCATGCCGGACCTGCCCTGTCACGGGCCCCAGCAGGCATTCTCTGGGGAAGTGCTGGAAGCCTGACTGCCATACCCCACACCTCTCCAACACGGGTGGCCACCTGTCTGTCTTGGTGAGCAAGGAGAGCCCTGGCCCAGGCTGCTCCTGGGTGACAGAACTCAGAGGGCACTCCATTCTCACTTCTGCCACATGGCAGAGGAACATGAAGCTGAGGACAACTGTCAGCCTGCAAGGGACCTTCTCAGACAGTGGTTAGGACAGCCGCTGGGGGTTGGCCACCTGCTCCAGGGGACGTGTGTGGAGAGAGATGGGCTCACAGCACAGGCAAAGCAGCGTGAGCACCAACTGCACCTTCATGAGATGCCCCTCTCATCAGTGTCCGAGGTCCTGGCTAGAAAGACATGCCCCTGAGTGGACCCTCGAGTCTTTGCTAAGGTTCAGGACATGGCTTTTGGAAGCCTCCCGCACAGGCTGATTACCACTTCCCCATTGAGTGGTAAGTCAATGGGAGCCCCATTGACTTTCTGTCCATGCTGTAGGGTCATAAGGTCAGCTCTGTGCCAGGGACAGAGGCCCAGACCCAGCCTCCCTGGGAGCAGGAGGCAACTGCCAACCCCACTGAACCTGCCTGCCAAGCTGGAGCCCTGAGCCTCTCTGGGCCCCACCTGGGAGCGGCAGGTGGCGAAGGTAGCACTGTTGATGATGCTGCACTGCCTCTGGGCCCAGGACTTGCGGTACGGGTTGGCCGTGCAGGGGTCCTTGGGCGCCGTGGCATCCGGGCAGGTGGGTGACAACTTCCAGCTGTTTCCGAACTCCAGCGCATCACTCACCACAGCCTGGCTGCGTGTGGTCAGGTCATTGATGGCGTTGTCATCGAAGTTCCCGCACAGGCCACAGACCCTGCCCTAAAGGTGGAGGGAGACATGGAACCAAGCAGCTGGGGGTGGGCCTTCAGAGCCTGGCCAGGAGCAGCACCCTGTGAACTTCCGGGGGGCAGGGGTGAAGGGGTGCTGGCCAAGCACGTGGGCAGGTCCTGCCCCTTGGAGAGCCCTTTGCTACTGTGAGGTCAGTGGGCAGAGCCGGCTCCCTGTGCAGGGCTCCCATGCTCCCTTTGGCCAGCTCGGGCTCGACACCACCTCTCAGACCCTGCCACGTGTGCGGCCTGCCTGTCGGGGCTTTTCCAAGTGAGGACAGAGCAGGGTCCCCCCGGTTGGGCTCACCTTGTAACTCTGTGGCAGCCGGAGGAACACACTAGTCTTCCGGTCCCAGGACACCGCCATCCCACTGCGGGTCTCGATGACCAAGAAGATGCCCATGTAGCGGACCTTGTAGGGCAGGTCGCCACCTGGCCCCCTTTCCACCACCTTGAAGCCCCCTTCGTGGAGGATCAGCTCATAGCTCTGTGGGTGGAGGCACACAGAGGCTGGAGGAGCTGGGATCCAGAGACACCCCCTGGGGGCTCAGGGCTTGTGGTGTGGGGTGTGGCCAGAGGCAGGCAGGATGTGCTGGGAGCTGGGGAGACCTTGTGCTGTAGGGGAGCCCCCAGGGCTCGCCTCACCCAGCCCTCTCTGTGGGGGCAGCCCCCCAGCCAGCTGTTCTGCTTCTGCCACTGTGAACCCTGCCTCCTGTGGCTGGACTCGGGTGCCATAAACATGGTGAGGTGGACTGTGGCCCAAAGGGTCTGTCTGCTCAGCTAAGCTCAGGGCCTGAAGATGTGACCGTGGGAAAAGTGGGACCATCCTGAATGACCTGGGCAGCCTTAAACCCAGTGACAGGAAGAGGGCCAGACGCAGAGGAGGCAACCACAGGAGACAGGCAGGGGGCGGAGGGGTGTGACCACAGGCTGATGCCTGGAGCCCCTGACTGAGCCTGTTGGATATGGCTGGACACCAGGTCTTGGGGAGAAGACTCCTGGAGGCCCCGTGGCTGGAGGGAGAGGGGTGCCCACGCCACATGTGCTTCCCACCTCCAGGAAGATCTTGATGGCCTTGGAGCAGGTGGTCCCAGTCGTTCCACAGGGGACGTTCTCAGTGACGATGCGGAAGGTCCCTTTGGCATTGGCAGTGCCTCCACAGTAGTCCTGGAGCAGGAAGAGACAAGGCAGTGTTGTCACCGGCAGAGGGAGCCCGCCTGAGGTGGGAGTTGGGCGAGGGGCCACGCACCTGGGCCAGCATGTACTCGCAGCTGCCTTCGAAACTGTAGCGCTCGCCATCGAAGGTGATGAAGTGGCCGTCCCCGTAGGCCACACAAGTGCCCAGGCAGGGCTGGCTGCTGCACTCCCAGTGGCGGTTCCTGCAGGTGCTGGGGGAGGCTGTCATGGTCACCTTCCCAGACCCCTATGCTGCCTGCCACATCGGGCTGAGGGCCAGCCCCAGGCCACACCGCGTCCCTAGGGTGCCTCCCTGCTCGACCCCCGCAGCCCGAGACACACCAGGTATTGCAGCCGACGCGGATGATCTCCCCAGGCCGGTAGCTGGCCTCGTTGTGCACGCAGGGACAATCTTCCTCAGCAACGCAGCCCCCGCTCCCGTCAGACACCAGCCCCGGGGGACACACGCAGCCCGAGACACAGTGTGTGCTGAACTGTGGGATACGGTTGATCAGGACTGGGAGCATGGCCCTCCTGCTCGCTACCCCAGCGTCCTAGACCCCGAGCCAGGGGACCCCGCCCATCCTGGGGGTGCCAGGCGGAGGCCAGTGAGGCAAGAAGCACTGGGGTCAGGGAGCCCCACAGTCACCATGTCCAGCAGCACGGGGCCCCCAGGGCCCAGGAGCTGGGAGGCTGTACCCCTTCACCCTCTGAGCTTCACCCTCACAGCTGGCGCTGTGACCGTGCCTGGCACTCACACATTCCACATCCAGGGAGTGGCAGCTTCGGAGGCACTCGGCCCCGGGAGTGCCGGCTGAGGTGTTGCTGCAGTCAAGGTACACCATGGGTGCCGCACACCCTGGGGAAGGGGCAGGAGCACATGGCAGGCCAGTGGAGATGGCAGGTCTGGCCCGCACCCAGCCCAGCACCACAGCCCGGGCACCCTGCCACCCTGGCCGTGCCTGGCAGGTGAAGATACCTGGGCTCCTCTGCAGCAGGGCTCCCAGGCAGCTCAGCTTCCCACTCACACAAGAGCTAAAAAAGAGGGCCCACTGCACTGCACCCAGTGTCCCCAGGCTCCCCAGCATCCCAGCCTATCACCCCCCTCCAGGCCAGGGCACTGTTGCTTCTGGGCCTCTGCCAGCACAAGTCCAGCGCAAGTCCTGGTGGCAGGAGGCAGGTGGACCTGGGCTGTGGTGTGGCTCTTAGCTCAGGCTGCCCAGGGAGCTGCAACGTCCCCCAAGACCAGGTGCTGAGGGCATGGCCTCACTGGGGTGCTGCTGGGGGGACTGTCCGGAGGAGGGCCAGCAGAGGAAGTAGGTCTGGAGGCCTTCAGAGGGTATGGGCCCAGACCCTCCCCTGCTTTCCTGCCATGAGGCGAGCAGTTTTGCAACCATGTTCTACGGTGGACTGGAACCTCCAAAGTGGGCCCCCCTTGAGGCCTGGGTGGGACAGAGGCAGGGGCAAGCCTGCTGGGCAGCTGAGAGCTGGGGCAGAAGCCCTGGAGGGGCCCACCCACCTCCACCCCTCCATGGCCCCAGGACCGAAGAGCAACTTCAGGCCTCCTCCTGAGGTCTGCTGCCACCGTGTGCCCACCCAGTGTGCCCCCCAGGCCTGAAAGCCCTGGTGGGGCCCAGAAGCCTCTGGTGCAGATCTGCCTCAGAGACCCCATTGGCTGGGATGGGAGGCCAGGAGGGTGGCCTGGAGCCCTGGTCCTCCTTACCACACCACACCGTCGTCCTGCACGACCTCCCCAGGCGCCACCACGCTGCCGTGGAAGTAGCAGGGGCACTCGTGGGCCGGCACACACACGCCCGCCTCATCCAGGAAGGTGCCTGCAGGGCATGTGCAGCCGTCCACGGGCACAAAGGACACACCGCAGGTGACGTCAGCCTCGCTCAGGCCGCGGCAGGTGGGCTGGCAGGTGTCCACCACATACACGTAGCTCTGAGACTTGGGGCAGCTGCTCATGTACTTGGCTGCAGGGCAGGGCAGAGAGTGATGTCGGCAGCAAGGCTCTGCAGTACCAGGCTGAGAGTGGGGCACCACAGCTGCTGCCCACCAGGGCCCGTGTCCTCACCCCACCCGGGATGCCCCCAGCCCAGCCCACGGGGCACTCACTGCAGACGCCGTCCCGCCAGCCGCGGAGCAGCACGCCCTTGGCGGCGCAGGCCTGCACGTAGGAGGACAGGGCGGCGCACAGGCAGTCCTCGCTCTTCTCGCAGTTGCACGTGTCGAACATGCAGTTCTGGGGGTGGCGGAGGGTCAGGACCCAGCCCGTCCCCCAGGACCACCCACCCCATCACACCCCCGCCAGACGGAAAGCTCGGGAATGCTGGCCCCGGTGGCTGAGCTTGCTATAAGGGCACAGCGGGGTCTGAGCCGCTGACGACACAGACGCAGGTGGTCACCCAGTGCCGCCCCTCTGTGGTCAAACTCCAGGGCTCCCCACGTGTGCACCGCCAGGCCCTCACCGAATGGAAGGGCTCGGGGTTCACAGTGGAGTGGCAGGCGGAGAAGGCTCCAGCAGGGTCCAGCAGCAGGGAGCACCAGTGCTGGGCGTAGTTCTCTGGGGAGGGACACAGCGCTGCCCTCCTGCCCTCAAGCACCCCCGCCCCCTTCGGGAACTGGGGCGCATGGTGGGCCGCCACACCAGGGCCCGCTCCTCCTTCACCCTGGCCCAGGAGAGAGGGTACCATTCTCCACGCTGAGCGAGCAGGGGTCCTCGAAGCTGTTCTTGGCATTGGGGCAGGAGGCCTGGGTCTTCCAGGTGTTGGCGAAGGCGGCGCCTGTGCCCTCCACCACCCCGCTCAGGGCCGTGAAGTCGTCGGCCTGGTTCTGGTTGAAGTTCCCACACAGGCCTGGGCCAGACCAGGGCCATCAGTGGCCTCCCGTCTGGCTGCCATGTCCAAGCCTGACGCCCTTCCCGACACCACCCAGGTCTGCTCCAGAGCCACCCACAGGTGAGCCTGGGTCCCACTATGCGGTCTGGTCGCCCCCCTACGTCAGCTGTCCTGGGCCTCCCTGTCCCTGTCCACCCCTCGCCCTCCAGCCCTGCCCTGGAGCTGGCAGGCCTCACCGCACATCTGGCCGTGGTACGAGGGGTCCAGTGTAACATGCACCTGCATGGTGGGCACTAGCTGCACCTGCAGCTGCAGGCCAAGCCCTGTCTGCACCAGGACGAAGAAGGATGAGGGCTTGAAGATGGTGATGTTGGCTGTGGAAGAGAACACAGGGCTACAGAGGACAGCAGTCACCCCACCAGACCCAAGCAACCGTGGGCTGGAGTGACCACGCCGGACACGGCAACCAGGGCCACATACACGTAGCTCTGACGTCCCATTTCTCAACTAAGCAGCCAGCCACTAGGATACTCCAGAACTGCCTGAGATCACCAAGAACCTGCCAGGGACCAAGTCGAACCCAGGGGGCTCTAGGGGCCACATGCCTTCCCTGGAGGTGTCACCTGGCTGGCAGGCGCCACATACCTGCTGACACAGGCAGCTGGGTGTAGATGGAGTTCATGAACACAGCTCCACTGGCCTGGACACGGATGGCCTGAGGAGCAGAGGGCCAGCGGGGGCTCAGCGCCTGTCCACTCAGGAGGGCCAGTGGGAGGCCGACTAGGCCTGCCCTGAAAGGGGTCCTGGGACTGTCCCAGGAAGGGGCTGCCCTTGCCGCAGGCTCCCCACCTCTGCCCCTTCCAGCCCTGTGGCACGGGAGGCAGGGGACCCTCACCGTGTCCCCGCCGCTGAGGCTGAGCGTCACCGCCTTGAGGCAGTTCTCGGTGTCGGTCAGGCCGCACTTCCGCAGCTCGGCCAGCACGGTGAAGGTGCTGTCTGCACATCTCTGTTAGGAAACCAGGCCTCAAGGCTGACTGCAGGGTAGGTGCGACCCCCAGGAGGCGGCCAGTCCCCGGGTCTGGGCTTCCCTCTCAGCACCAGCCTGTCCACCAATGGCCGCCAGGGGACCCTTACCTTAGACAGGACATAGCTGCAGTCACCGTGTACGTCATACATCTTCTCGTCGTAGGTGGAGATGTGGGACCCACCTCGCACAGAGCAGGAGCCCGGGCACCGCCGCTCCTGGCACTGCCACAGACCTCCGGAGCAGGTGCTGTGGGGAGAGCGTGAGCAGGCGGTGCAGGAGCAGGCGCCCCCGCCCGTGCAGCCCGTGAGCGCGGGGCCCTACCAGGAGCTGCAGCTGGTGTTGAAGGAGGTCCCAGGGGCAAAGGCGTGGCCGCCGTGGGTGCAGGGGCACTGAGCCAGCGGCAGGCAGCCGGCATGTGTGACGTCATCCAGCACCGTGCCTGAGCAGGAACAGGTGGTGAGCCTGGGTGAGGGCCTGGGCACCGGCCGCCTGTCCAGCACGCAGGGACCTCGCCTTGGGAGGCTCCAGCTATGGCCCTGCCCTGCCGGGGCTCAGTGTCAGGGTGAGCACTATGCTCTGCTGGCCTGGTCCCCACTGGTCCCAGGGCTGTGCTACCTCTCTGCCTTTCTCAGGAAGCACACCTCTGCTTCCTATGGTCAGTGTCCACCCGCCCTGGGCCCTTGGGAGGGACCCCCTCCTGGGCGGGGTCAGGGCTGGAGGTGGGGCACAGGGCACGGGGCCTGCCTGGGGGGCAGAAGCAGCCGTCCACGCAGTGGTCCTCGCACAGCTGGGAGCGCTGGGGGTTGGAGCAGGTGTCAGTACAGGGCGAGCCGCACTCCTGGTGCTGCATGCCAGCCGAGCACGTCTGGGCTGTGGGGGGAAGCAGCGCTAAGCCTGGACACAGTCCCACCCTGAAGACCTGGTGTCACACCCACCGCAGTCACACTCCCCCATGACCCCAAGGACACCAAGGCCAGCATTCGGCTCAGCTCCCTCCTGCCCACTCGAGGCTGCGGCCGTCCTGGGAGGCTCTGGCTGACCCCTGCTCACAGAGCGTGGGGGCCCCTCGGCCCCCAGACCCTCCAGGCTGGAGCCTTCCTCTTGGCTCCTCACACGTCCTTTCCTCACTCACTCTCGTTACGGCCCCTGAGTTCCCCTGAGCCTGTCTTCCCAGCCACACGCCAGGCCCCCCTGTGACCCTGGCATGGGCCCTGTGGGGCACTCACGGCAAAGGTTAGGGCCCCTCCAGTTCTGAGGCTGGCCCCCACTGTGGGCGCACTGGCGAGAGTACTCAGCAAAGGTGGCACAGGGGCACGTGGGACAGCGGCACAGGTCCTGGACACAGGCAGCCACGTACACACTGGCGTCCACCAGCCCACTGCACTCGGAGAAGGCTGGGCCAAGCAGGATGCGGCGACAAAAGTCCTCCTGGGGACACAAGAAGGCTGGCACCCTCTGATCCCCAGGCAGAATGGCCATGTGCTTGTGTGGGGACCCTGCCCCTCACAGACCAGGCCAGAGAGCCCCTTCTTCACCTCAAGGTTCCATCACCCACCCATCCATCCACCCACTCATCCATCATCCACAAACAACCCACTCATCCATCTATCCATCCATCCACACAACCACCCACCCACACGTATATCCACATACCCACACACATACCCACCACCATCTATTCACCCATCCATCTATCCACCCACTCACCCACCCACCTACCCCTCATCCACATATCCACACATCCATCTACACACCCACCCACCCACACATCCGCACATCCGTCTACACACCCACACACCCACACACCCACACATCCACACGTCCATCTACACACCCACACACCCACACATCCATCTACACACCCACACACCCACACATCCATCTACATACCCACACATCCACACACCCATACATCCATCTACACACCCATCCACACACCCACACATCCGCACATCCATCTACACACCCACCCACACATCCACACACCCATCTACACACCCACACACCCACACATCCGTCTACATACCCACCCACCCACACATCCACACATCCATTTACACACCCACCCACACATCCATGCATCCATCTACACACCCACACATCCACACACCCGTCTACACACCCACCCACCCACACATCCATACATCCACACATCCATCTATACACCCACCCACACATCCACGCATCCATCTACACACCCGCACACCCACACATCCACACACCCATCTACACACCCACCTGCCCATCCCGGTGCACGTGTGCTGCATGTGCAGTTGCTGCACACTCAGAGCATGGCTTCCCGGTGTGCAAGGTGCAGCTCTCCACAGAGCATCTCACTCCCCAAGCTGCCCTCCTCAGCCTGGCCCCAGGGTGCAGGGCTCAGTCCTCAGTGACACTGGGACAGAGAGCCTTCCTGTCTGCTCACTCGAGGGCCTCTCTCAGGCCTCAGCTCGACTGTCCTCTGCCCCACATCATCCACCCACAGGCCTTCTGCTGACCCCACACCCAGAGAAGGTGCTCACCCTGTCCGTGCAGTTGTCAGGAGGCGAGGGCAATGGGTCCTGGCACTGCTCCGTGGGACCATCCAGCTTCTGCAGGTTCCCAAACTGGAGAGGGCTGAGCCTGGTGTCTGCCCAGGAGAACACTGCGTGTGGGAGGCTCTCCAGCTTCCCCAGACTGGGCCCCGCCCCCGCCCAGCAGTGTCCCTCCCGGCTCACTGCACCACGGCCCACTCTGCCCACAGCCTCCTACACTCAGCCCTGGCCCAGGCCACTCACTGTGCGCGTAGAACTCGCTGGCCTCCGGGAGCCCGTTGAAGTCTCCACACAGCCCGCAGGTCTGGTTGGCGTACTTGGGGTCCAGCTCCAGCTGGGGGCAGGCAGGTGGCTCCAGCCTCAGGCCTCTGCCCTGGCTCCACAGTCCCCTACCCTGAGGCTGGAGGCTCTCTCCCACCCTGTGGGGCCCATGGCGCCAGGCATCCTCACCAGAGCACTGTCCTCTCCATTCCACAGGAAGGTCAGGACCAGCCGGACACTGACCTTCACGTAGTCACTGTTCTGCTCCACCAGGAGGCCGGCACGGCTGTAGGGCAGGTCCTCCCTGGGGGAGGGCAAGGTCAGGCCTGTGCTGCCCCACAACTCTGGCCCCACCGCTCTGGGAAGAAGGCTGGGCCTGCTCACCGCTGCCCGTCCACCAGGACGGAGCCGTTGGACAGCTCCAGCACCAGCCCCTGGGCCTTGAGCACAGTGTGGGTGATGGTGGACCTGGAGCCCACGAGGCCTCGGCGCAGCTGCACGTTGAAGTCCTCGTAGGCGGCGCCACAGTGCGCGGAGAACACGTAGTTGCAGAGGCCGGGGAAGCGGAAGACGGCGCCGTCGAAGGTCTTGTAGTGGAAGTCGCCCCAGGTGCTGCAGACGCGCCCCGTGTGTGCGGGGTTCGGGGCTGTGGGGAGCCGGGAAACGGGCCACTGATAGGCACCCTGCCCTGTGCCCAGCTCCCCCACAGCCCCGGGCTGCCACCCGAGACCAGGTGCCCCATTGCTCTGCCATGCTCCCCCAGCACTTGGATCCCCAAAGACCAGCCCACCCCTGGCCTTCCCATGGGCCCCACAGTTGTCAGCAGATTCCACCAGCAGGGCACTGCCCTGCCCAGGGCCACCCTGTGCCCACAGATACCAGCCTCACCCCCAGCCCAGCAGAGCCCTGCCCCGCTGGCAGTGGCTACCTCCTACTTACGGCTCACATTGGGGAAGATGGCGAGGGGTGGGATGAAGGTCAGGCGCCGGGTGGACGAGGATGTGGGATTGGCTGCGGGCAGGACCGGGTCACACTGGGGACGTGGCTGGGGACACCCTTCTCCAACCTCACCCTCTGCAATGCCCACTCTGAAACCACTGGGGCCCAGGACACAAGACACGGCTGTCCGGCTCCTCTCAGTCCCTGCCGGGCCCTCTTGGGCCCTCCCTATCTGCCAGCCCACTCTGACCCACAAGCTTACAGGGGACCTGCAAGATCTGCCCTGCACCTCCATCTCCCTGGGAGCCCCAACCCCTCTGGCACCCAGCCCCGTCCCCAAGCAGAGGCCCGGGAAGGTCTTGCTGTGACACGCGCCCGCCTTGTCGCGTCAGGAGCCCCCAGCCGGCCTGCATACCACCATCCACCCTGACACCACTTGCAGCGGGCTCCGTGCGCCCTGGGCTCAGCTCCACAGGGGTCTGGGTCTCTGCAGGGAAAGGATGGGAGTCAGCAAGGGCTGAGACACGCGGCCACTGACCATGACCACCGTCACAATGTGAGGCATGTGGTAGGCTCTGGCCTGAGGCTGAGACTCCTCCCAGAGCTTCGGAAGCCCAAAGGGGACCTGACATGTCAACCCCACCTGCCCTCCTGGTCCGCACATGTGGGCAGCCACCTCATCCCCCCGAGGGACAGGGAAGAGGTCCCCACCACTCAAGGAAGACAATGGAATCAGGAAGCAGCTTGGTCCCAGAACGCAGCTGCCCAGGGGGTTCAGCCCCCACCCTCTGTCCCTCAGAGGACAAAGGCCAGCTTTGTTGGAGGGACACGGTGGGAGGTTTCCAGGAATGACTTAGCAGAAACCCGAGATCAGAACCAGTCCAGAACTGGAACCAGGAGTCAGGCAGGTGGCACGAGGCATCAGCATGGGGAGCACACCCAGGGTGGTCTCCCCTCCGCCAGCCTGGCCGCAGCCGAAAGAGGCAGCACCAGCCCACAGCTGAAGGACTGCGCCCCTGCAGCGCCTGCTGCTCCACGAGGGGCCGCGGCTCTGGCTGGGACTCGGGCCGGAGTGCAGGCTGCTCCCAAGCACCATGCAGCCCGCTTCCTGTTTGCTTTCCCACCGTGGCCGGCTGACATTTGGAAACCGCAGGCCGTTCATCCCTCCTCTCCAGCCCCGCTTGACTGCGTTTCCCAGAGGCATGGCTGCACCTCTGTCCCCCGACCCTGGGCCTGCAGCCTCCGCCCCAGCCCTGAGGACGCTAACCAGATCTGGGTCTTGCAGGCTCAGCGGCCCGACACCGTCCTCTCTGCCCAGGACCTCCGCCCCAGCCCTGAGGACCCTAACCAGATCTGGGTCTTGCAGGCTCAGTGGCCCGACACTCTCTGCCCAGGACCCCTAGTCAGAGTCAGCCCTCCGCACCCCAGCCCGGCCCCACCCCCTCCACCACACCCTGCGTGTTCTAGAGACACCGAGGGCGCCGTGTGGCCGGTCTCACCACCCAGGCGGTGCTCACAGCTCATCGCTCCCCCCAGGACCTCAAGTGGCCCGGCCCAGGCCACACGGCCTGCAATAGCCTGGAAGTGGGGGAGCATGGCTGAGCCCCACAAGCCAGCGTCCAGGCTGAGCAGTAGGCTGGGGATGATACCTCTCACCACACCTTCACAAACGGAGGGCTCTCGGGCCTGGTCCCCACCTGTCCAGCCCAAGCTCAGTAGGGAGCAAAGCTCAGAGTGGCCGTGGCCTCGGCCAGCCAGCCTCACCCGGCTCAGGCCGAGGCGGCCACTCCTTCCCAGCTAACAGTAAGCATTCCGAGGGGTAGGGTGGATGCGGCTCTCCTGGGAGCAGACTGAGGCAGCGGCCCTGCTCACAAGGGCCATGCAGCCCCAAGGCCTGAGACGCCTGCTGGGAGATGACGGCTGACCAGACGCGGCCGCGGCATCAGGTTGTGGCCAGGCACCTTGCTCTTCTGCCTCACTCCAACCCCATCACCTGAAGGTGGGGTCCACTTGCAGGACCCAGGGCAGCCAGCGTAGACTGTGACCCAGCCAGAAGACTGTCCCTGCCTTCTCCGATGCTGAGCCCTTCAGAACCGGAGATGCCAGCCCCTAACCCCAGCACACTGCCACGCCTGGCCTGGCCCAAGCCCTGCCCTGACGCCCCATCCAGGCCGGGCTCTGGTTCCCTGACACCGCACAGCCGGTGTGAGACACAGTCAGGAGCTCAGGGCCCGCAGGGCTGGGGACACCTTCAGCGAGCAGCAGGACTGGCCTGCTCCCCTCAGCAGAGCCCAGCGGAGGCAGTCCCCCAGGAAGATGGCGTCGAGGTGAGGGGCTCCGGCCTTACCTGCCAGCCGCACCACGAGCAGGGCTGCGAGGGCCCAGGCCAGCGCCCAGCACCTGCTCCTGGCGCCCATCCTGGGGGCTGGCAAGGGGGGCAGGCAGCAAGGGACTGGGGCTTGGTGCCTGCTGCCCAGGGACCTGGGCTTATGTAGCAGAACTCCTTGGCCCTGTGCCCACTCCTGGGCCACGCAGGGCAGCGTCCACTCCCTGGGGCAGCCACGTGTGTTTGTTCTTGGGGAGGGGCTGTGGCAGAGAGCGGCCCAGGAGGATTTGCCGGGCTGGGCCACCAGACGCAGGTGCCCCCACTCTGCACATCTGAGGGCTAGAGAAAGAGGCTTGGTGCTGCCTCACTGGGGCAGACTCCTGGGGGTCAGATGGCGGGAGAGGCCTCAGAGGTGGCCTACTCCTCAGAATCACGGCTCGGCCTGGGATGGAGACCCAGGGCTCCTGCTCAGCCCCATCTGGACAGCGCTGGGTGCGTGCCAGATGGACTCCTGATCTGCGTGCTTCGTGGGGTCCCAGCCAGAGGGACTCCTGATCTGCGTGCTTCGTGGGGTCCCAGCCAGAGGGACTCCTGATCTGCGTGCTTCATGGGGTCCCAGCCAGAGGGACTCCTGATCTGCATGCTTCGTGGGGTCCCAGCCAGATGGACTCCTGATCTGCGTGCTTCGTGGAGTCCCAGCCAGAGGGACTCCTGATCTGCGTGCTTCGTGGGGTCCCAGAGGCCCTTGCAGAGTCTGGAGCTCTCTGGCCTCCTCTCTGCTACAAAGGTCAGCCTGAGGGGAAGCTGAGGCCCAGCCCAGCCCTGACCAAGACAGCATCTTGCTTGGTCTCCACCTCCTCTGAGTGGCAAAGGCAGTGACCACTCCCCTGGGGTCTGGATCCTGCCTGGGCCTGGACTGGCAGGCACTGAGCAAGCCACAGGGCGGTGGTAATGGAGCCTGGGCATGCTGCCCATCCCGAGTGCCCTTGCTGGGCTTCCGGGGGCATGGGGCAGCCTTTCCCAGAAGTGATGTCCAGCGACATTCTCCCTGTGGGCGCTGTGACTTCTTCCCGTTGTGCAATTTGAGCTCTCCCTGTGCCTCCTCTTACATCAAGGCTGCTGGCTTCACCCCACGGGCCCGTGTGGGAATGGGACAAATGGATGCGGGAATGTGGAAGTGTCCCGGGTTACAGACAGACAGATGGACAGACACAGGATGGGGGACACTGGCCTCAAGGCTTTGCCCACCCCAGGGAGCCTTTGGGTGGTTTCCAGGTTGTTTTGCTTTATAACTGAGCACTGTCTGTTCCCCTCCGAGGACTGGTGGGAGCAGCACTGCCGGGGAAGGGGGGCACATCAGAAAGCCTTGTGAACCCTACAGCAGGACAAGCACCCTGAGTCTGCTCACATGAGGCCCACCAGCGCCAGGCCCACAGAGACAGCAGGTGGGATGGGAGTCAGGGGGCAGAGATGAGGACACCCTGGCGGTGACAGTGGTGCTGGCTACACAGTGTTGACGTCTCGGTGCCCCGACTGTGCGGCAAACATGGCCAAGGCAGGAACTGTGTGTTGAGCGCCTCTCAGCAGTAATCATTTCGAAAGCCTTGGGACACACTTTGCTGACGGGCACCAGTGACCTCACAGCCTGCAGCGTCTCTGCTCTCCAGCCCAGTGCAGCCTCCGGGGCCATGCAGCTCTCCCTAGCCCTGCGTCTCCAGGTTGGAGAGTTCCAGGGCCGGGTCTCCACAGCCCTCTGTCATCCCAAGCCCACTGGCAGCAGTGCCACAGGAGAGGGGGGTGAAGGACCTGCGGACCTACGCCCCTGCCCGAGCCCTGGCACTGCCAGCGCCCCTGTTCTTCACCTCCAGCCTGCTCCCTGACACAGACACCATGGCACCTGACCCCAGAGCCAGCACAGGCACTGCCCCCAGCCTAGACAGCTGCTCCCCAGCCCTGTGCCCTGGCAGCTGTCCTCCTCAGCCACTCGCAGGTGATGCCATCAGCCTGGCCTCCTCACCCTGCCTGGAAGAGCTCCGTGAGGGGCGGGGCCTCAGGCACAGCACACACAGAGGCACCCAACACTCCGCCGCGGGCCCTGCCCGGTCCGGGGACAGTCGGACCACTGCACCCCCCAGAGGGTCTGCTCAGAGACTTCCCGGATGCGGCCGGCTGCCTGTTTGCTCAGCCGCTGGGAGTTTACCTCTTCACAGTTGAAGGACTGGAAATAGGGATAGGGAGGAAAGGGACACGGCCAGCCCACTGGGGAGGGGACCGAAGCCTTCCTGGGACACAGGGTCACGTTGCTGCCACTGCCAGGAACCTGCCCTGCAGCTTGGGCCGGGGTGTGCCTGTCCCTCATTCCCCCTCCTGTTTCTGGGCCAGCAGAACAAAGGGGACTGTGCTGGGCCATGGAGGGCCCAGCGTGGCCACGGTCTCTGTGGACAGAGCCCCTCCCGCTGGTGGCACAGAGCCCATACTGGGCTCACTTACCCCACAGGAGTGAACTGGGCCCCCCAGGGACCCTGCAGAGGCAACCCCAGGCCCCGGCCGCCTGCTCCACACAAGCCCCACTCAGAGAGCTCTGCCACAGCTAGAGGTCATTCAGCCCCTGCCTGCCCAGCCCACCTTGCCCTCCTCCTGCGAAGCAGTGCAGATCCAGGACACAGGCCCAGGCCCTCTGGCTCCGGGGCGCTGTGACCTGACACACAGATCTGAGTCCCTGCCGTGACTCCCTTGGGTGTACACCTGGGCACGGGCTAGCTGGCCTGGGGAGTTTCACTGGCCTACTCGCTTAGTGTCTGAAGACCTGCTGTGCTGTTTTCCACAGCAGCGGCACCCTTCCACACCCCACCACGCACCAGGGTCCCATTCCTCTGTATCTTCCCCAGCACTCACTATCCTCCTCCCTGCCTCCTTCCTGGTTCTGGGGATCCAACCCAGGGGCATTCCATCACTGACACTCAGCCCTTTTTATTTTATGTTTTAACACAAGTTCTCATTAAGTTGACCAGGCTGGTCTCAAACTTGCTATCCTTCTGCCTCAGCTTCCCAAGTGGTGGGGCCAGCTCCTGGCTGGTTTCCACTCTTGTGATAATAGCCATCTCCCTGGTGTGAGGGGTGCTGCACTGTGATTTGATAAGCATTTCTCTGACCGCTCTGACACTGAGCACATGGACTTGGCAGTGGACATCTTCTTTGGAAATGTGTCTTTTTGAGTATTAGCTCGTGCGTGTGTCTTTCATCTATTTCGAGTTCATTTTTTTGTAACTGGTGGGAAGTAGGGGTCCGACTTTGTTCCTGTGTGTGTAGGGATATTGGCCTTTTCCAGCACCATTGTTATAGGAGTGAAGACCACCAGGCCACAAGAGGGAGCTTAGGTCTGGACTTCCTTTCCCAGGCTGTCCTTGTGCCGAACCCACACTGTGTTGATTCCTGCGGCCTCATGCTGTCATAAAATCAGAAAATATGAGTTCTCCAACTTTGTTTTTTCTTAAGAATATTTTGAATATTTAGGTTCTTTTGAGATTCCAAATGGATTTCAGGATGGATTTATCTATTTATACAAAAAACTATTGGCATTTTGATAGGGGTTACAAGGGATCTGTAGATCTTTTGGGGTGGTATTATAATCTGACCAATACTGTCTTCAACCCATGAACATGGTATTTTTCAACTTTAGGTCTTTAATTTTTTTTCAACAATGTTTTATAGTATTCAGTGTACAGGATTTTTGCCTCCTTGGTCAAACTTTCTCCTAAATATGGTGTGTTAACGAAATTGTTTTCTTACTTTCTTAATTTTTTCCTTCCTGATTATTCCTTGCTAGGGTACAGCAAGTTGCTGAATGCTTTTATCAGTTTGAACCATGCTTTGGTGGGATTATTAAGGTGTTCGATATATAAGCACATGTCATCTTCCTGCTTCGGAACTGAGGCAGCTTTACTTCTTACTTCTCTGGCTGGAACATCCAATATTATGTTGAACAGAAGCGAATGCCAATCCAGGCATGGCAGTGCACACCTGGGATCCTGACACTCAGGAGGCTGAGGCAGGGGGATTACGAGTTTAAGCCCAGCCTGGAAAACTTAGCAACTTGTGGGACCTTGTCTCAAAATAAAAAATAATAAAAGGCTGCAGTGTAGCTCAGTGCAGAGGCCCTGGGTTCAATCCCCAGCTTCAAAATAAAACAAAGTGGTGAATGTAAGTATCACTGCTTTGTTCCTGATCTTGGGTGTAACACCCCGTCTTTCACTACTGCAGATGAGAGTACTATGTGCTTTCCACAGATGCCCTTCACTACTTGAGGTCCGTCCCTCCAATTTCTACTACATCGAGGGCTTTTTTTCAGTCATGAATTTTTACCAATTCTTTTTCTGCATCAGTTGAGATGATCATGGATGTCCCCCTCCATTCTACCAGTGTGGTATATTTCATTAACTGATTTTTGCACTTCAAACATGCTTACACCCCAGGATGGAAACCCACTTGTTCATGGTACATAGTCTTTTTTAAATGCTACTGACCTCAGTTTGCTAGTATTTGTTAGAAGTTCTTGCACCAATATAAGTGGGGAATATTGGACTTAGTTTTCTGCTTCTTGTACAGGGTCTCATTATGTAGTGTAGGTTGGCCTCGAACTCACTATGCAGCCCACACTGGCCTTGAACTCCCAGCGATCCTCCAACCTCAACCTCTCAAGTGCTGGGATGACAGGTGTGCCCACCATGCCCAGCCAAAGTGCAGCACACCTGCAAAATTTGCAGCCTGAATTAATTAAAAAAAAAAAAATTTGCAGCCTGAATGTTCGTAAGTTAGGGGCTTACTTCAGAGTCTTCGTCTGGCTTAGAGATCAAGTAAGACTGAGTTTGACTATGAGGTAAGAAGAGTTCCCTCTTATTCAATATTTTGGAATAATTTGCGTTTTTGTAATTCACCAGGAAAGACATGGAGTTCTAGGCTTGTCTTTGAGGGGAAAGGCCTGGTGTTTGATTTAATCTCCTTAACAGTGATATATCTATTCACTTTATCCATCTCTTTATGAATCAATTCTCTTTCTAGGAATTTGCACTTTCTTCTTGGTATTAAATGTCTTGGCATATACTTATTCATAGTATTCTCTTACTGTCACTTTTATTTCTGTAAAGTTAGTG